GTGAGAGAGAAAGAGAAAGGTACTGTATGTACAACTCCCTGTTTGCGCTAATGGCGCCGTTTGTAATGGGAAAAAGTCTAGAGCGCACTTATCGCGACGGGTTTTATATGACTCCCACTCCCTATACCATTCTCGTTTCTTATCTCTCTCTCTCTCTCTCTCTCTCTCTCTCTCTCTCTCTCTCTCTTTCTCTTTCTGTGTCTGTCTCTCTGTCTCTCTATCCAACTCTCCCTCTTTCTTTCAAACCAACTTCAATATACACCAACCCTTAGAGACATATATTGCGAGAAATTCTGTAATTTTTCTACCCTTCACGAGCAGATTCATTAATTTAAGTTTTTTAATTAGTAAATTAATTAGAACGAGCAGAGCGGACGGGGTGCAGCATCGACTAACCTTTATTTGTAGGTACAAACTTTTGTGCTCTCTCGCTTTTACTATGAAGTTGAATTGTTTATGACGTTAGTCTGGATAATAGAAACCATGGCCTTCGCTTCGATTCATCCGCCATAGTAAATGTATTCGTTTCATCGACTCTATTATAATAAAATTATAACAAAGTTTTCGAATGGAAATTCTTGAAATCAGCTTTCGATTATTATAATATGCAATGAACAAACAAACATGAATTATACAATTGACTAATAGTTAATGCCGTCTAAAATGCCAATTAATATTATATTTCATAGTATCGATTTTTTCATTAGCTTTATATTTGTCGCTAATTTTCCCCCAATTAAGCCTATGGGTAATGACATTGATACAAACGTCTCGAATATTTGCGCAACATTGATCGCAAAAAATATACAACAAACAATTAAAGATTATATTTCGGAAGTTTTTATTGGTAGTATATTATAATGCAAAGACTGGGTCGATTCTCTGGTGATTCTCGGCGCGTAATACGAGTTTTTCCCTTCGCGCGCCTGCCTTCGCGGAACGAGACGTGTTTTCCATATCGGTGATTCGCGTGCATATGAGATAGACCGTTAAAAAATTGATGCAGAGTAGACTATTGCGCATGCGTGCTCGCCCGAGGCCGCTGAAACTAGATTTCGAGTCACATCTCGTATTCATGGGTGGGCCGAGTGTACACGTGTATGAGTGCGAGTCGGGGAAAAAAGTACGCCTCGTATGTATCTGCATGCGAATAAGCCCCTATACGACTAATAACTTATACTTATTCCCATACACTTGTCTGGTTGGGAGAGAATATAGTTTTTAGTAAATATTGTAATTTAGTGATTGATAATGACAATAATGCGTATAGGGCATCAAGAGTCTTAAGCTCATTTCACATTCAATTAATATCGCCAAAAACAAAAAAAATTCTTCAACGAGAGATGATAAATTTATAGCACGCGTCTCCGGTAAAATTGGACTATTTCACACTCAAAAATAATAATAATAATATTGTTTAAGAAATATCTCTAGTCTTTAAAATAATAAATGAGCGATGAAATAATGCTCGACATCGGAGTGGAAGGTCATCGAAATCCTACAAGGTTCGTGAAAGCTTGAATTCGCCGTTATTCCATTTCGATGCCGTGTGCCGCCTAATAATCCAGGGCGAACGTCGGCGATATATGTGGAAGAAAAAGTCGCTGGATAAGGCAGCCCACTGGCGCTAGATGATTAGCTTGTTTCTTAGTGGAAGCGCGTGGAGGAGAAGGAGAGAAAAGAGCGCGATGTGTGCACATGCAGGTAGGAGGTTTGGGAGGGAAAAGTTGCGAAGCGCCGACATTGTGGTCAGCTTCGCAACCGCAAATGCCAAGGGATGAATTCTTTATGAAAGCTGTCGAGGGAAGCCGCCGAGGATTCATAGACTTTTAGATTATTTTCACTTTTATTACCACTGCCGCCGACATTGCACTGTTTATGAATTGTTCAGTATGTTTGGATATACAAGCAGGCCTGTCTTGCCCTTACCCTTATCCACCACTCCGGCACTGCATTAGTCTACAACTCGTCCCTGCTTTGTGCCTCGATGCCCTTTGCCCTCGCGATTTACAAGGGATTCTTCCTCTTGTTATGCTATTCCATACGAAAATGGATTCTCATTTTTCAATTAATTTTTTACAAATCCGAGGCCGGCCAACTTCCTGTGCCGCGCAAACCAATAGACAAACCGACGGAGTCGACGCCGCCGCCACTGCATAGAAAGAGCGACCTTCGATTCGTTACTTTTAATCAGCCAAATCGAAAAATAAATTCAATGTTTTGTGTATTACATTTTGTGTATTAGCGAGGACAAAGGAAATCGATAACAGCTGAGCCGTCATTTTTCATTCTAATGAGCACGATCTTGCGTCATATATATTTCGCAACTCTCGGAGCCGCTTACGTAATCTTCGATTGCGTCCTATCATTCTTACTTCATTTGATCTTTCATGAGAACGCTACAACTCTCTGCGAGCATTATGCCACGATGCAGATGTAGGGTATGTAGGTATAACAACAAATTGGAGCACTCTTAAATAATAAATACAACTTGTCTACGTCTCGTCAGCCCCCGTGAGGTCGAGACGAGGCTGACAGCGGTGTCGAGACTCGATCGGAAATCACTTTGCCTCGGAATTCCCATAAAGCGCGATCCTAAGCTTGTAGTCGACCCTCTTTACGCGTTCCTCTATAAGCTACGATACTATCGTCATCTCGCATTCAATAATCGGCCATTTCGCCTTTCCGAATCTAAAAATCGCCGGACAAACGAACGACTAGCGCGCAAAATTTAATTGGCACGAGCCAATACTCATCTAACGATTTATTCATCGTACTCTTCTCAATCGACAGAATAATAAATGCATTCTCTTGAAATTCAAAAAAAGAAGAAAAAAAATAATGAAAGCAAAATGAAATAGAACAAGAGAGAAAGAAACAAGTATATGTTAAATAATAGACGATTACGATTAATAGATAATAAGCCGTTGGAGACACTACTTTAATTATTTTTCTTTTCCCTATTCGTCATTGTCTAGCTATTAGTTTTATTATTACCATTTGCCACTAATATATACGAATATACTTGCCAAAGCTTAACACGACAATACTCTTACATTAATTGCGTAAATTTTGACATAATGCATATTTGACATAATGCGCATTGACTGAATTCTGAGAATCTTATTAATAAATGGCATTATTCACTTGAATTTTTATGACTCATCATCGGACGAACGAATAGCCCGACGACTTGGAATTTTAATATTTTAATTTGTTACATTATATGAAAATTTATATCAACAGCGAGAGCATTAACGGGATTAAAAACTTTATTCAATTTTAGTAATGCACAAGCTCAATAGCAAGCTCGTAACGTATCTTGATTATTTCCCATCGACAATATCGTGACATCTCTTTATTCTAATAAATCTATATGAGAGACGGAAATTATGATTGGAAAGTGCGGCCCTCTTGCCGTTCCGGTGGTCCGAGCGTACAGCCAGCGGAGTCGGGTCTTTAAATTAACTTCTCTCAAAGTTGGAGAACTGCGGGTCTCAATTACCGAGGCCGACAATCGCTAATGCCACGTAAAGTGACTTGAAACCGACGCTTTTTTCTTCAAAAACTTATCCGCCCGTTGTTCCCCATAATGAAGCAGAGGAAAAATAGAAAAAGTAACCCGCATAAAGCGTTGACCCACCCTTATTCCTGCAATTAGGATGATCGAGCGTACGCGACGAGATCTCGAATTGAACCATCCGCCGGCCATCATCCTTCGGCCAACAAATTTCTCAACAAAGCGTACGACGCGCCGGCTAAGGATGCACACACACTCTATATGTCCTTAGACACTGAGTCGATGGGCCGCGTATCCACCTCCCAGTCATTTATTGTCGCGTGGCAGGCGTTGGAGCTCCCGCACAACCGTACGCGTATGGCCGGTCGCCTAAGTGTGTATAAAACAAGACGGTATTAGCCCCCGTGAGCCCCGAAAATAACCACCCGTATTGAAATGTCCCCGAGTCGCAGCAGTCGATATATGTTGCTAGGATTATCCGAATATGGTCCAGTCTCTCTTTATTCCGGGCTGAGTTGCGACCCCCCAGGGTGTCGTATCGGCTCGCCCTCGCCGCCGACGGCGCGAAGCCTCCCACAGGCCGCTGACGTATGGCTGGTCATCTCCTTGTCGGTATTACCAGCCTCCACCACTAGATCTGTACATATGAGTACGCCGGCCGAGGCGCTTCGGGCGCCCAGTGGATTATTTGAATATGGGAAGGAAGGCATTGGAAAAGCAAGCTGGATTGGCCCAGGGACCTTTGGGGCTTGAATCGTGTCTACCCCATCGGTCGTACGTTTTCTGCTGATAATGCAACAAATAGCTCTCCACTAGCCTGACAAATCCAATCTCAATGTATGCGGCATTATTCTAGGAATAATGCACTTGTCTTTCGTGCGATGCGATGACAAGGATTGCCGTACTTTTAGATTCGTTGAAATATTAAGGGAACGGCTGCGAATGCCTTTCAGCTTAGAATACTGCGACGGGGACGTACGAGACCAATACATCGACGTATCAAGTACATATCTGCATGGGCTGGCACATGCGGTTGTACAAATGAGATTTTAAGCGATAAATAAGATGTGTGGCGTGAGGAAGGGTAATTTTGATGAACGACCGAATTCTTGAAACATTTCTTCCTGTTTACAAGCAGTGTACAATATAAACGAAAATAACGTTTATTGAGCAGCGAAGTATCCTTCCTTTTATTAAGAATTACATGTCGTTAATTCATACAATATTAGAGATATATTACAATATATTAAAGATAATCATTGTAAATTAATAGGATATATAAATATAAAAGAGCCTCGCCTACTTCCGTGAAATTAAAAAATAACTAATTTCAACGAGCGAAATTTCTCTCTCTCTCTCTCTCTCTCTCTCTCTCTCTCTCTCTCTCTCTTTAAAAAAATGTTATAGAAAACTTTACAAATACTTTAAATAATGAAATTCGAATTCTCCAATTCATAATGAATATTTTTATTTGTTACAGCAAGTGACGCACTCGGACGAGTTGAGAAGGATCCAGCATCACCCGAATCCTCACATGGTAAGTAATATGAAAATTAATATGCGCACACATATATGAATATACTCACTTACACAGAGAGATAAGTAATTACAATATTAATGATTTTATGAAGGGAAAAATTATTTCATCAAGACGACTATTATCTTCGGACGAATGAGTCTCTATACTTTATTTTATAAATTAATCCCATTTATGTTAATATTGATCGCTAGATTAATCGTTAAAACTATATATCTTTGTAAATAATGACAAATTATTATTTTGTAATTAAATGTCGCGAAAGTAATAATTATAAATATTATACATTGTTCATCTATTTTTATCATTACAAGGTTTCACGAATCATAATACTGATTTTACCTAATAGTGAATGCATAAATATGAAATTTATGAGCACGTAAACATTATTCAATGAATAAACATTAATTAAATATAATATTGTACAATGTCATACATTATTTAGATTTAAAATTATTAAATAAGATAACAAAGATCTTTGCGCTTATAAACTAACAATAATTACAATGTCCTACGATGATATAAAATGAATAAAGACAGTAAAACAGAAATTACGATTTTTTAAAATATCTTTTATGATTAATCAAATATGTTGTTTTTTATTTATTTATTTATTTATTTATTTTTTTTTTTTTTTTTAATAGAGATTTAGTAAAACCGTAATTGTAATAAATGCTAAAATGATATATTATCGAAAATCATTTTAGAATTACTGTAGTCGGAAATCCATTTTCTCTGAAACTACATTGATCTATAACAGCTATAATTGAAGTTGTTTATAACAACGCATAATTTCCTCTTATAATGCAGTTTCACATAACGATTCTTTATAAAGATGCAATAAGAATTAAAGTATAAAGAATCTTTATCAAATATGATCATTTATAATGGATTTTGAAATTTATTTACCAATCAGTATTGTTCACATTTAAGTTTAAGAAAACTCTAGTTTTTTTTTTGCTCTTTAAAAAAGTTCATTTCACGAATGTAGCTTTTTTGTATAAAACCTACGACCACCATAATATACATATATTAATATATATATATATATATATATATGATAATAAGTAGAACATTAGCCAACTCGTTTGAACAATGTTCTATCGAATTTTGGAGTACGTTAATATTACGTTTTCAGCTCGCTATAATAACTAAATAAACGAATAAACAAATAATTGTAATGGTTTATGCGGGTGCATGGAAGTTAACATAAATATAAACAATTCATTGGAAACTTATGTAAATAAATTGAAAGTACGAGGTCAAGTTCTTTTTATTTTTTAAGATATTTCTTAAGATATTAAAAGCCCGATTCAGGAACAAGCCATTCAAACTAAAAATCTCGTTCAAAGAAGCTTTTACAAATACTACTCCGCGATTTCTTTCCCCTCAAGAGCCGTTCACTTCAAATACAAGAAGAAGAAGAAGTACGATTTATCTCCTAATCGCCATAAAGCAACAAACTCTCCGGGTGATGCGACTAAGTACAGTCTCCGAGTTTATTATCTACCTCCGTCTCAATCTAGTGTCTCGTACGTGCACATCCCCATCGTCGAGAATCCGGAACGCAGGAGCGGCACCGTGACCGAGACGCGCACACTTTTCGTCGAATACTTCGTGTGGACCAGCCGTGGCCCGAACAGGACTAATTTCGTTCCCCGTAAAGTATGTCATAAACACAATTATTATGCGGCGCCGTATGCTGCCGCCACCGCCGCTGCCCCATTGTCAATAATTTTCCGTCCAACCCCCACGGCGCGTGCGTGCACGTCTAGGTGCATTATTCGTATCTGCCATGACCAGAACACGTGTATAAGAAGCGATGGATCATAAAAAAGACGTTCGCTTCATTTCCAAGAGTCAATCTAGCAGTGACGAAAACGGCGGCAGCGGTGATGTCGGTGGTGGCGGCGTCGACAGCGGCAGCGGCAGCGGCAGCGGCAGCAGGAACGACGATGACGACGAGGACGACGATGGCCGGCAATAGTTGAGACGAAACGTGAAGCGACCAACCGATAATCGACGAACAATTTGCAATTTACACAAGGCCCCGAAAAAGCCCGAGGCCTTTTCTTTCTCATTTGGCTTCTTGCTCTACCTTCTGCCACAGTATCACACATACACGCTCTCTCTCTCTCACTCTCTCTCACTCTCTCTCTCTCTCTCTCTCTCGCACACACACACACACACACTCTCTCTCTCTCTCTCTCTATCTCTATCTCTATCTCTCGCTCTCTATATTTACACACACACACACACACACACACACACACAAACACGCGCGCGCGCATATGTATATATTTCTTCGACCCTTTTCTCCTTCTACTGATCATTACTTTGCCATCGTCCTCTACGTGTATACCAGGCTCAGTCTCCTTTTCTCTCTCACTTATTCAGGGAAAAAATATTCCTCCTAAAATTGCATTTTACTGATTACGTATGTTAAAAATTGCATTGCGATTCCGTGTAAAAATTATATTACCAAGCACAATTCCGAGCCGAAAATTTGTTTTAGCTCCGACTTCTTCGCTGAAACATACCTAATCGGCATCTTACGCCGACTAATCCAATATTTTATTCAAACCCTTCTATTAAATGAAAATATTTCTCTCATGACCGAAGCTTATTCATTTAAATTTTATAGATAACTAGCTCACTACATTCATAAAATATGCATAATTCATTTGGTCGTGGTAATGATTTTTGTTGTGGCATTGATGCATTTCATACAAAAGTACAAACGCAATAGTTTCAACATTATATCGTCTCGATGAATTATTTTATCGTTCTGTTAAATTTCGAATAAGCGGCAAATCAAGGTTTTGTCGAATAATCGAAAATGAATTTCGTAATCAACCTGTTTCCATCACAATCCACGACCAAGCGATATTGACGGAAAATCATACGATATTCCTTGCCGTGTTCGTCTACCTCCATCTTACTGACAATGAACGAGTAAATTCACAGAACAAAATAGAGAACCTGAAAATGAGGAAGACAAGATACCCGTCTTTCCATTAGACACAGACTTCGTGAGAATATTTCACTTGCGTGGTATATTATAGCATCAATTTGCAAAGTGTATCTCACTTCAATTGGCAGGCATCGTCCACACCGTTCTGTCTTCCTTTAATTCGGCTAATCGTTTTCGTGCATCATTACTATCCCCTGACGTAAAATACCGATTATATTTTTACATTATTGTCATGTAAAATATATTAAGTTGATAATATAATTTAATGAAATGCCAAGGCTTCGGTAATTCATATTCAATTGTGCAGAAATATTATTCGCATAACATACGCATTGATTTTTGTATCATTCGAGCAATTATTAACGAACAATCGTCCGACAGTTATATTTTATTGTATTTCTAGTGCCAATACTTCCTCGTAAATCTTATCTTTATCTATATATATATTAATAGCATGAAATTATAATAAGCGAAATATAATTTCAAAATCTGATTGCTCCTGCGCAAAATAAAAGCAAATATTCCTTAAAAAGAAAAAAAAATCAACGTGATAACATTAATAAAGGCCTAACGATTAAATGTAAGGCCGTTGTTAAAATAAAGTAATCTAAAAATTCAATAAGCTGTTCATATCACAAAAAGTTTAATTACCACCTCATCGGTCGCTACATTATTTGAGATCCGCTAAAAATGTCCGTTATACGGCTCGTAATAACAAGGAACGTCAACATTTTTCGCTGAGTGTATATGGAGCGCTCAGTCGCTGGCATTTCGCGCATTTATGCCCTCACCAGGCGCTGTCGCGTTTTTACGAGGGTTGTATACGTGTCTCGCAAGTACAGGAACGTTTCACGGGGGGTTGGCCGGTACTCGCGAACACGGTCCTTGGGTTACAGTGCTTCCCGTGAGCTTGTGAGATGGGCCGAGAGAGAAGGTGTACGAGTTTGAAAAATGAATTATGACGAACGCCTCGACGCATCTGCTGTATGGCATTTTCGATATACTAGGGGGATATACCATCTCCAACTAGCAAATCTGACGTTGAAATTTCATTCTTATAACGATGTAGTTTAGCGAGCGTTCAGAGGTAAGCGCGACTCTCCTTACTCATTGATATGTGCTTTTTTCTAAAACAAATCACTCATATTGATTAGCTGTACTTTATCATCATAACGTGCGCTAAATTAAATATATATTCGTTTGTCAATTTATCGGTTATTGCTGAGCATTTTTCGGAAAATTAATGATCGAATTTTTTTTCTAAACACTAACTCTCCAATAATTGTGCAATATTACCTTTGATTATTTCTTAATGCCTCGTAATAGTATAGAATTGTAGCACGAAAAATGAAAAATTTGAATAGTCAGGAAACAAAATAGATTAAGAGTCTATTTAAAATCCCCTATTCTCACCAAAGTACCAGCAGCTCTCATTATATATATATATATATATATATATATATATATATATATGTATGTTCATCAAAAGTCATGCTGCCGAGTGAAACGGACGGTACATAAGCGCGATATGGACAAAAAATGAGGTACTCTCACTACAGGCTCTCGGAAATCTTTCGAACCGGTCGTAACCGCGTTGGACTTTCGCAGCCTTTCGCCGCGGATGATCTGCCTATGAAAAGAGCAACTCGGCAAATTGACGAAAGAGAAAAAGAAACAGTGTGAGAATCAGGTAGTGATAGATAGGAAGAGAGGGCGAAAAAACTGTGAAGGAGAGCAGATATTGCGAACCTGTATTTTACTTTTATAGCATTTAGCCTGGTTGTTTGTCTTATTGCTATTTAGCCTGTTCTCCTGGAGTCAATTAGTAATTTCACTTTAATGTGGATTCTTTGAATCTTTCTGCCGCACCCTCTTTCACCCTCTCTTCCTTGCTCTCTCTCTCTCTCACACACACACACACACACACACACACACAAACTCTCTCTCTCCCTCTCTCTCCGTCTCTCTCTCTCTCTCTCCGTCTCTCTCTCTCTCTCTCCGTCTCTCTCTCTCTCTCTCCGTCTCT